GGTTGAGGATCAGTCATCTTTTCCCAAGATGAAAGATTAAAGTTGTTATTTAGAATGGGGGCACTCACATCATCCAAAGGATTCTGCCAGTTCTCATTGAGACTAATATTTTATGGGGTTTTTTGCAATATTTTTACCTCTAATTTTACTTCACTGTGCAAGAACAAACTTCTCTGTCTTTTTTGAGAGGTTGTGCAGTCCAGTGCTTTCTGCTTATTATTACTTATTCTTCCCTTAAAATCCATCTCATTTATGTGATGTTATTTATTATAACATGACAACAGACTGCTGTAACTTCCACTATGTCATACTAATTTGAGGTTTTGTTCATATGCATCATTTGTTGTTTCCAGACAATTTTGATACTTCTTCCTTATTAGTTTGCAGAAGTACTTTGCTTCATTTAAGTTTAATTATGTATCGGGTTAAGTGTGGAACAAATAGGGATCATGCTTATATTTCTGTCCCTTATAATTGGGCAGGTTTTTAGATATTCATGGTGACAAAATTTGCAACTTGTTTGATGATTGTCACTAAACCCCAGAACAGACCTTAAAAACAAGGGGAACCATTTTGCATGCTGATTCAGTATTTCTCTATGATCAAAGATAAATTTTTGTGCTGCTTTTGACATTTTAAAATGGAGACTCTAGTTTTTGTTCATCCACAAGTATTCTCCTATTAAAGAAGATATATTTAAAAAAAAAGTGAAATGAAGTCAGACAGCTACATGCAGATGGTTAAACACACTCATCAGCTTCCTTCATTTGATTGTTTCAATAATAATGAGATTAACAAACATATATTTTTTGTGGAAAAACTTCCACAACTTTGGGGGTTCTTTTTAAATGAGAATTTCAAAGAGTATGCCTTAAATTAGCTGAACTGGTTTTCAAAACTATAGTTTTTTTTTGCCAATAGTTTTGCTAGTACCTGTTTGAATTTTAAATGTAGATTTTTTCTAAATTTACTGGTATTTTTTTAATGTTCCTGCCGATGCATATAGTGTAAGAAAGTGAGATAATTAGAAGTTACTGTTCATATATCAAAAATTAGGTTTCATTATGCATCATTTAAAATTAGGAATCAGTTGCATTTCTTAAATACATCATTTGAATTATATCCACTCAAGCTACTTTGAGTAATTCATATATATGTATACTGTATACATAACTTGTTGGATATTACACATTGATTCATAAATAACATTTAGCTCTCTGTGGAGAACCTCTGCAAACCACAAGTGTCTGCTATGGCTAACTCACAGCATATAATATGCATTTATAGCACATGTGTATGTACCCTACACTTTCAGAGATAGTGTACAGCAGTGCACATTTAATTACTTAATTTGTATTAATGCTACATTGCACATATAATTTTTATACATACACTCCAGTAGTGTATGCAAATCAACTCATCCAGTTTTTTGTATTTATTTCTAAATTTATCTTATAAAAAACTTTTTACCCTGAAGTTAGTATACATATCTTGTAATGTTGTGATTATAACTGATATGTTGTAATTTTACTATAACTTTGGTGTATTTTCTACATAATTACAGTGCTTATTTTATGTCAGTGTATCAGATTCATTTATGCTGTTAAGCACTTTCGAAATGTTATAGTTGTGCAGTGTTTTGTGTTTTTTGATTCAATGTTAAGATTTAATTGCTTAAATAACTAAACAATGAAAAGAGGAAAATGTAAAAAATTAAGTTGATTTTTTGTTTCATGAGAAATTTCACATTTAGGTGTAATTTTCAGACACATTTCAAATACTATGACTACCTTATTATCATCATTTTTTAGTGCTTTGTGGTCTCAAGTATTGCCTTTACTGCTTTGTCGTAGATCCATTTATTGAATACTTTCCAAGTGACTGTCTTATTATTATTTATTTAATGGTTGTTGGTCTCAAGTATTACCTTTACTGCTTTGTCGTAGATCCATTTACTGAACACTTCCCAAGTGACTGTCTTATTATTATTTATTTAATGTTTGTTGGTCTCAAGTATTACCTTTACTGCTTTGTCGTAGATCCATCTTATTGAATACTTTCCAAGTGACTGTCTTATTATTATTATTTATTTAATGGTTGTTGGTCTCAAGTATTACCTTTACTGTTTTGTCATAGATCCATTTACTGAACACTTCCCAAGTGGTAGTGGTTTAACTCCATCTGCTGAACAGCCATCAACTTCCAGTGGTTTAGGCCCTCCAACAGCGTGTTTTAATAGAGTGGCTGTTATCATGGAAAAGTTCAAAGCTTACAAAAGGAAACATTTCAGACCTAACAAAAAGGTAAAACAAAGTTAACTTCATTGCTATTATTCATTGCATTTTCAGTCAGTGAGTTAGAAGACCTTCTGAATATCATCATACATTATAAATTTGAGTAAAACATGAAATATTCACATATAATAAAAAAGTCTTTTATGAGATGATGTGCAAATGTACTTGTAAAATTAGGTAACTTACAGCATATTCAAAACAAAAATGTTATTTCTAACCCATTCCTCTAAAAAAAAATAAAGTAATTCAAACCAGTGATATGATGTATACTTCATTTAGTAATTGAAAAGTAGCTGAATATTAGCTGCTTATTAAGAAATTTTACTTATCTCTATGCACTAATAAAAGCTATAAACTAGTACACAGCTTCCTAGGAATTTCCTACACAAGCCTCAAAAAACTTCCACCCCTATGCTTGTCTACATATATTTCACCAACCTATGATGTAATAATCATGATGCTGTAAACCCCCACAGTTAGGAGGGCAACACAACCTCCATGCACAGTAATCCCATGAGCACTAGTATCTGATCATAGGATCATTCTTTCTTCACATTCCAGCTGCTTTGATCAGTTTCTTTTTTTGTTATTTAGTACTACATTACTTTTGTCCTTGTTGCACTTTTTTCCATCCACCAGATTCCAACTTCATTTTCTTCAGCCACCATATTTCTGCTTTATGCTACTTTCAACAATGTATGCCAAAAAATAAAAAAATCCCAAAGTCCAGATATTCTTTTTTAGGGATTTTATCCAACTCATTCAATAGTTACTGGAGGCATATAGAACTTATGTTACGTAACATTGTAAGTAAGTTACGTAACCTCGTGAAAGTCCTTTATAAAAATGAAACTAGTAGATGAAATTGTTTGAAATTTGACATGAACATTGCTAAAAGTATATAGTTTCAGATAAATAAAATAATTTAATTTTGATATATTTTTATTATTTCTAGTAAAAAATTCGTTATTTGCACTCAGACTCTAAATATTTCATGTGCAAGGTGATTTAAATCTTGAGTATAAAAATACTATTTATTATCTTACAGTTTTCACATTTCATTTGCATAATCTCTAGAATCTCCTAAATGAATATCAAAAGTTTTTTAAGGTAAATGCTTCTATTTTATTTTCCATTTTTTCTAGTATACCACTAACTCTAGTTATTATCATCAACATACAGTGCAATAAAATGGTTAAAATTTAGAAATAGAAATATATACATACCTTTTAGCTCTTCATAGAAGGCTTTTAAAACTTTTTTTTAATATTGTAATTTCATAATTTTATCTTTTCACTTATAGTTTATTTTTAATTTACCTTTCCGATTCTTTGTCTTTTATTATTTATGCTGATACATCAACTGGTATCCATGGGGCTCTGTTATTATTATAGGGTGACTCCCATGCATGGACTCTTTCACTAATGCTCACACACTTTCAGAATCCAAGCTACAAGTTAAATGTATAAAAATCATTAAACCTTTCAAATATGGATTTTAAAACACACATAATACATAATTAATTAAGATATAAACGTAAAACCTAAATGCAATCTAACTGTCTAGCAAATTAATATATATATAAAGCGAGAAACACCTCCTAAATGCTACTTACATTTTGAGAGAACAGTGGACAAAGCTTCTTTTCTGTGTCATAGTACAACCCCATATACTGATAATGTTTCTTCAGCTGTTAAGTAAACAGCAGGAAATCTGCTCTTTCTATTGGTTATAAGCATGCCATTGCACTTCAAACTGCTGATTAGCAACACAGCTTCGACTTTGCAAGTTTGCGTGGCTGACCTTCCTATTGGTTATAAGCATGCCATTGAACTTTAAACTGCTAATTAGCAACACAGCTTCGACTTTGCAAGTTTGCGTGGCTGACCTTCAGTGGGGAGAAGTAGTTTCTTGATGGTAATAAAATATATCTCCTTACTGTACCTTGACCATCTGAACTAACAGTCTATATTAGCTACTCACAGTTTCTTGTATAAGAACTTTTAAAAGTTAAGAATTGTAACTGTGAGTGGATCATGTGACAGAAAAAACTGCAGTTTTAATTGCTGTTTTAGATGTTTCTTTTTAAAATAAAGGAATATAACATAGATAATATAAGTTATCATGACTTTATAATAATAATTTCATTAAAACATCTTTACAGTAAAGTGGTTTAATTAAAATTTGAATGTAACTCGAGTGCATGTAACTGGGCTCGAGCAGGATGGAGCGGCGTCTCTTACTCTGTTTTGCCAGCGCACTTTCCCCTGTCAATAGGACGCCACTACCGGCTGGGTAGTTCCAAAGAGTGCGGTCGGGAGGTCGGGCTACGGAAGGTATCCGATGGTGGAGCTGAACGTTCTGCCGATGGTGTTATAGCCAGCCCGTCCATATGGACACGCCACCCAACAGAGGGTAATGAGGCCCTGTGCGGGCCTGGCCGTTCCTTCCCACACGTGGAGAGGTACCTCGCTGGCAATCGTCGACTTGGAGCTTAGCACCGAGCGTGTGGTTTGCCAATGGTAGGCGGTGATGCCAAATTTATTGACATACGTAAAAGTTTGATGCTGTATCTCACCAGTAACGTTGGTGATCTAAACAGAATTGATGGCACCTTGACTGTTAACAAAGTACAGGTACATTCTGACCCACCATGCCATTCGAATGAGGAGCATGATGATAAAACCATATTTTGACTGTAAAGATACCAAATAAATATCCATAAATGTGTGTATGATATAAACATACATGAAGCTGTACGAGTTTGTATAAGAACTGAGAAGATCAAAAGGCAACCAAACAGTTTGGCTGAGTTATTGAGAATAATAAAGGACAAGGGATTCACGTAAAAAATACTAGTCTGTTGTACAACTTATTCACTTTTGTATTTTCTGTAATAATGTTTTATACATCTAACAAGATCACTATAAAGTTGCCAATACTCCATTTTTGGACCTCATTTTTTTTATTTCGTTGATGATTGCATTGTAATGATATTCATATTAAATAGTTCATTCTTTAATGTCATTCAATAGGCACTTCAAGGTTTGAAAGAAATGGGCTTTGCTGAAGCAGAAATAGTGGATGCACTAAGATTGTGTGGAAACAAAGAAGAAAAAGCGGTGCGAGTATTTTTTGTTTTCTTAAATTTATGTACATATGGTTGCCATTGGTTTAAATTATCTGTCTGCAGAATGAAATTTTTTTTTGTCTTTTTTGTCTTCTTTTTGCTAAGTATCATGACCCTTGTTCATTTTATTTTGTGTTTAAATATTTAGTGCAAAGGACTTCCAAATTTTATTATTATTAATCTTGAGATAATATAATATTTTTTCTTTTATTATAAAAGATATTTCAGTCCTTACAAGACTCCTTATAGAAAGTGTTGGTGTAACAGATTCTCATCTTATCCACAGAGAACCTTTATACTTTGACTATGTTTTGAGCCTGAGCAGTGGAATGAAAATTCAAACTGCTAATGAAATAAATATTTTGTAAAGTAATGTAACAGTGCTGAAATGATGTTACATTAATTTATTACTTTACTAGTCAGGTGTGAAATTTTTGTTTAACTACAATGGTGGAAAAATTATCTATTTATAGCCAAAAGTGGCTGATACAATATTCAGACAATCTATAAAGCTGCTGATGTAATAATTAGACAGTATTGCATCATCTACAAAAAACATTTGCACTTACATGCATTAGGACCTCAAAATAAATTGTTATTCGAAAGTCTGAAAAAATTTGGTGATGCAATCAATTTTTCCATCACTGTATTTGATACAAGATGCTTAGGGAATTTGGGGTTTATAAGTTGTATTAATAGTACCCCATTTACATGTCAGTGTAGTTGACTGTGTGTCTTTCACCAATTTCATAAATATAGCTTATAAACCTGTTTTCATCAATAAACTTATAAATATGTATAACTTACTTTTGGTTAATCAAAAAAATTATTCTTGCTTTGACATAAATAGTATTACAAATATTAATAGACAGTACTTCTATGAAAATCTCAGAAATAAGTTAAATAATAAGTTAAATTCTTTTTACTAAAAGAGACATAACGACATCTGCAAATTACATTGTTGGCAAGCAGGATCTTATAAACATAGTAAAGAAGTTGTGTGAAGAAATTACAAGTTTTTGTGTTTAAACATGTTAAGTGAACAACCTTTCATCACAGACATTTCTGTACTGAGGCAATTTGTAAATATATAGAAATTACAATTATGTATATAAAATATTAGTTCTCAAACTAAATAATAGCTTATTTTAACTTGGGCAACTCTTCAGTTGTTTTTCGAATTGGGATTTATATTTTAAATGCATAATGAGATTCTAGTTATACATGAGAAATAATAAGTGTTATTACAAGCTAATTGTATACTTATATTTTTTCCTCAAGCTTTATAGTTGCTTGAATTATAATTTTATGAATTTAAACATTTCTTTAACTAGGACAGTGTCAGGTTTCTTACATGAAGGCAGATTCTTTACAATAGGTGGCAATATATTTCAACAATAAACAAACAATACACAGTCTACTTGTTTTAAAATAATATATTAAAACAAGTCAATCATATATACAAATGTTCATTACACTGTTGGTTATCACAGTCATATCTAGAGCTTTAAATAATTGTCTCTTTTTTTTTGTCAATGTCCACACAGGCTGGTTCATTTACCTTAAAATGCAATTTGACTAGATGAATTATTCTTTTCCACTCTGTTATTACAATACAATCTGTGATAATTTCACTTTAGAAATCACCACTATAACTGTTGGTTACCACAATTGTATCCAGAGCATTAAATAATTGTCTCTTTTTCATTAAAATCTATACAGGCTGGTTCAGTTACTTTAGAGCACAATTTGACAAGACGAATTATTCTTTTCCACTCTGTTATTACAATACAGTCTGTGATAATTTCACTTTAGAAATCACCACCATAGTCTCTTTATGGCTAAACTCACAATCACACAGTATAGATCTAACTATTGAACTAAATTTTCTACACGTATTTATACCCCAACAGATGTGTAGACAGTTCCACATACTATGAGATATTATGATGCAATAATACTCAATTATAATAATGTGAAAAATTCAAAAGGTTCTAGCAACAAGACACAGTAATAAAACAATCACCAGTTCATAACAGTTGAACTTCTCAACGTATGATGTAAACAAACTTGCAATAAACTATTGCTTCTAAAAATAACTAAATTTAACACTCGCATTAAACTTAAACCATATTAGTAGCCGTATAATACAAATGAATGTATTTAAGTTTTTTGTTATACATTAGTAATACTATAGATGCTCTACGTTTCAGCATTTGACAAGTAGTACTTGTTTGGCTCTGAAGCTAAAGTGTAGCAATATAGAAGTCTTCTATCAGGACAATAATAAACAATCTGCAGTAATTACCATGCATAAGCTTTTTATTTATTTCTCCACCTCAATCTTTTTTGTATATGTGTGTAAATTGAGTGATATGGCATGTATCTCAGTAAACTGAACTTTCAGTGATTAATTATTTGATACCTGCAGTGTGAGTGGCTACTGGGAGATCGTAGATATGAAGCATCAGCAGAATTGACTGTTGGACTGAATCCTGAAAGTCCAATTTATAATGCTATAGTGAATGACCCCATAGTCATGTTAGGCCTTGGAACTCCCAAAACTTTTGTTGGTAAATATTTCCTACATATATATATTTTGTTTGTTTTTTGCTATGTTGTCACAAATGAGAAGAAAAACTTGTTTCAGAAATTAGGATATATTCATCTGTTTTTTTTTATAAATACACATGATTTTTTATTCTAAAATATTTCTTTAAATTATATAATGTTTAATGCTGTATTTTACAAGATTGCTAGAAAAGTCTGTACTTGTTAAAGATATAGAAAACTTTACAAATGATAAATAGGCAATCCTGTTTCAGTTGTCTTGTAAAATGTTTTTGTTTTTATATTACAGAGACACATGAAATGGATATTTTCATTTTGTTTTCAGTTTTATCTATATTTATTCTTTACATTTTAAACTGTCTTCATTTTCAGCATTGTTTAGAATAGTTACACTGTATGTGAAATGATTTTTTGTAAACTAAAGTGTATGTACAAAATGTGCAACTGTTAAGAAGAAACTCGGCTAATAAGAAAGGCAGTAATGTATCCCTGCAGGTATTTATATTCTATCTGTACAATATATATATGAATTTCTAATACTTATGTATGTGAAAAACAATCAGATCTATATTCTTGAATACCTAATAATCTAAAGAATAAACTTGGTTACTGATTAGTTGAATTTTTGTAAACACTTATTAATCTTACAAGGAATTTTGTCAGTGAACATTTACTCCAGTTTCAGTTTTATCAGTTGTCAAACGCTTGTCGGAAGATAAGTGATTAAAATTAATCAAATGGAAACTCGATGGTGTTTTTAATTCCAAAAGCATGAAAACTATAAAAAATCTTTTTGTAAACTAAATCTGACAAATTATCTAAGAAAAGAACTAACAAATACTTACTGATAACAAGTTCAAATTCATGATTACAATAACTCTCCTTTTTTCCCAAATTTCAGCCTTGCTTCATATGCTGGATAGTCCAGATACAAGTGGTCGATGGCTAAGTGACTCAAGTACAGCACCAATTCTGAGTCAGATTTTCAAGATTTACCATACACAGAAGCATATGTTACAGTTGAACCGACCTCTTTTTAGCTAATTATGTATTTTGTTACACATAAATAGATTTAGTTGAACCATTTTTAGTGCATTATGCAATTAATTATACGGCAAATTCAACTCAACAATTTACCCGATTAAGCATACTATTGTAACAAGATTAAAAGAATATTTTTCCTTATTATTAACTCCAAAGTGCTTGAAATGTCTTTCTGAAACATTAAGTATAGCTATAATGGCTTACTGTCATTCGGCAACCCTTGCATCAAGCCTATAGGCCAACTTTTTTTTCAGTAATAGTGTTCCAACCATTGGTAAAAAAAGACTTCTAGAACTTTTTATTTCAAAAGTTCATCTGGACAGTTTGAAATGAATTTCGAATCTGTAGTCTAACAATGATATACAAAACTACTATTTTTTACAATAGGCAAAGAATAATTTGTCATACATTGGCTTTTAGAAGTGCTAGACTTGTAAAATTAATAAAAAAATGTAAAATATTTTTGCAATACATAGTCAGTTTCTAGTTTTTTTCAGCCAATACATCTAAGCCTAATCTTAACTAATCTTCTCAATCACAAAAATTAATTAATAAAAGCAAATTAATGTTTAAATCTGTTTAATCATTTAGACCAGCTGCCTTTGCAATTTTAGTATTTCATTTGCATTAAAATATGATTGAAAAGTCTTATTTTACAATAGCTTAAGTAATTCAGTTCTTTGTCACATGGCTTTAAGTTAAAAAATGAAAACTTTCAGCTTTAAAGTCCGTGATCTTAGCTTTGTAATTTATCCTGTTCATTTGACTGGATCATTCTTAAAGAACAGCTTGTAGTATTTAACTTAGTTCACTGTTAGATAATAGAAAATAATGATTATAATTATTATTGTAAAGTTATTTTAATTACCAAATACACAGTTTCAAAAAATATATATCTTTTTATTGTTACATTCATCAACAAACTGAAACCTTATTAATGAATCAGCCAAAAACTTAACACAATTATTATTAATATAAATACAATAATGAACTATATCTCCATAATGTATCTTTATTGCCTCAATATTTCACTATTACAGTTTTTGTCTTGATTGTTTATTTACTATTGTTGTTTCTGTTTGTTTCAACAGTTTAAATTCAAGAATGTTTGATATTAATTTTGATAAGATCTCAACCTTTTAAACACGTGTATTACCATTCAATTAACTAATAACAAAATTTCAATTTAGTTTTAAGTGGATTAGTGAATTTATTGGTTATTAATAGCTCCTGAAAAAGCTGTAATAGCAAATTATTGAGCCAGTAAAAATACTCTCTGGAGAAATAGGTTGCTGTTTTATTTACATTAGTAGAAATGTTCCTAATAAACTCAGTTTTCATTAAACAACGATACAAATAATTATTTTACACAATCATTCTAATACTGAAATTAGTTTTTTATAATAATAATTTCCTTCTTAGTTGTATGTTTTATTTGACAAACCTGAAACTTGTGAGTGAACCACCTTAGGTATTATTATTATTAACAATAATTTTAATTATGAAATCAAGTTTCAAAATAAATTAGTGAAGGTTTGTTTGTTTTGAATTTCGCGCAAAGCAACACGGGGGCTATCCACGCTAGCCGTCCCTAATTTAGT